CCAACAGGTTTTAAAATCTACAAAGGAGTATAAAGACTTCACCTCTCCCATTCTTCCTAAAGTTTTCTCATTGCAACTGCTTAGCCATCAGCAATGAAACTGAAGTGATGCAAAGAGCAGAACAGTGATGAATGTTTCCTTAACACTCTGAACTTCACTTTACTGATGTTGTCTTTGTAAATCACACTTATTCCACTTCAGATCAGGACTTCAAATTACCTGCTACTAAACCAGTTTCATCAGAAGCAAGCAGTCCACAAGTTCTAAAAAATAATATAAATGCAAGCCCTTTCATTACCCTTGAAATAGGATAACACATTCCAAACAGACCATATTAAAAAAATCAAAATTTAAAACATCAAAAAGCCACACTTATATACAAATCTACATAAAAAGCTTATGAACTTTGCTCATAGCTTTCCATAACATTTCAGAATATCAGCTCTAAACATAGATGAATATACACCTCAGATCTAGTGATCTGTTTCTTCAGCTACAGTTGTTAAGAAACTTTCTCATGTTTCTTGTAAAGTTTATAGCATTACATATGCTGTAGGGAATAATTCCTCATTGGATTGACTTTGAATATACCTGAAAGCATTTTTGTTGCTTGTAGATTTTATCTGATATGGTCCAATGAACTCCAGTGAGCTTGAACATGACCTTGACATGCTGAACTTTACCTTCAGGTGAAAATTCAGAAAGTAGCTCACAGTCAAGTGCAGAATTGCTCTTTTCAGACAGAATTCTTGATCTTCACCATTCCCTGACCTGAAGCCAAATGCAGTTAGATTTTCTCCTATCCTCATGTCTCCCCAGCACAAAGAAAGTACAAATCCAAGCCTTGCTGCTCACTTCATCAGATGCACGTATGGGGATTCTTTTTTTATATTGAAATTACAGCTTACAAACACTCTGACTATTTCAAAATGTACTTCCAAGCACATAACTTCTAGTGAAAAAAAAAAATTCCCTGGAAATATTTTCAGCATGAATGTGCCCAAACAAATTCATAGGTTTTTCTGGATCAATAAATAATTTCTTTGCAACACCAGTGTTGCATCTGTAGAAAGGGACACTTAAGAACACACATGTTTTCATACCTACAGCTGAGCTTTCTGATCAAATCACGAGTGCATGTATGTTGATTTAAAATATGAGTTTAATACAAAAATCTTTGAAATTATATTCCTCTAAGTGTACAGTGCCATTTCCTTGTTTAAAGTGATCAAGCCCTCTGTGAGTACTATCAACCAGATCAAAATCTAAACTCTCTTGCATTACAGCAGACTACATCTATCCCACTCACATGTTGAAGAGCCTGGTAGCTTTTACATCAGTCCCACTAACTTCACTGGGGAGAGCAGGTGTTCAACACCTTTGCAAAATCAGGTAATTTTAGGGGTTGTTTAAAGCTGTAAACTCAAGATTATGTTCAAACCCATTTAGCAAGTTTAGAGGAATGAGACCTAGACCCCTGGTCTGTAAGACCCTGCCCTACAGCTTGGTCATTCACATCACCATTCATCTCCCATGTGCGTGGATACAACAGTAATTAGAGCATTAACAAGTAAGATACATGAAAGAACTTTGTGCCGAAGTTTCAACCAAGTTTGGTTGAAAACCAAAATTACCCTCAAGATCCTTACAATCTACTTCTTGGCAATTCTTTGCACCCCCTGCCAGATGCATCCAGACTTCTTGATGCTGATTTTAAGAAGGGGCTAATACAGGGCAAGTCAATAATCATCAAAACTGCTTCCCAAATTTAAAAAATGGGATGTTATTGAAATCAATTGCTTTTGCAAGAATAGCTGAGGTTGAGTGTGAATCTTTGGAAACTGAAAGACCAGTCTGCAAAATGCCTAGACTAGTTTTTAATAATGTCCAAAAGCCATCTCAATTTATTTATTATTCTTGTCTCTTGACTTCTAATCAGCAAATAATGTTCTATTCTTCACTCAAAAAATGCACCCTTCATTATTCCTTGTTCAACTTAACTCAAAAAGCCTGCATCCTCCTACAAAAAATAGAGAAACCTTGTAATTTAATGTCTATAGTCCTTGACAAGCATCTCAATGTGTAATATTTTAAAGGAGTTAATCTTTCTTCGGTCTTAAGCACCATTCTTTCTGCCTACACTTTCCACATTTTTTCCTGAAAATGTGGTTAATTATTTTCTCCTTTACTACAAAAATGGAGAGGACATACCTGGTTTACTGTAGCTATCAATAATTACAAATTCAGAAGGCAAAACATGTGGGATTCTGTTTTCTCCCTAGCTTCAAATGGTAGTCAGCCAGAAGCAATGTCAGACCTAGAGGCGCTAAGAACACGAAATCCAGCGGGTATTGTGCCCTGGCTGGCTGGCACCAGCTCCGCACCGACCCTGCCACCTGAAGTTTCCCCACCTCCCTCCAGACCCAAATTTGCCCGCAGGGAGACACAAGACCCGCCATGAGCGGCACATGACTCAGTGAACCCAGGAGCTGCAGTCGCCAGGCCGCGGCCCCACGACCCCGCGGCGGGCACTGCCCGCAGCCACGGGCCGCTCCCGGCCCTTCCCGACCCATCCCGGCCCTTCCCGCGCTGCCCGCCGCAGAGCCCGCGCCGCCCTCAGCGCCGCCGCCGCGGGGCGGGGCCGCGCCGCCCGCACCGACCAATAGCAGCGCGGGCCGCCGCGGAGCTCAGCCAATCAGCGCCCGCGTTGGCAGCGCGGGCCCGGGCTGCGGCAGGGAGCGGCGGCCGCGCTCGGGTCCCTCAGCGCGGCCCGCGGGAGCGGGAGAGCAGCGGGAGCCGGGGCCCTGGCCCGCGGAGCCCTGAGCTCCGTGCCGAGGACGGGGGGCCCTCCGGAACCCCGGGGCTGCGGCTGCTGACCCGCCTGAAGCGCTGCTTTCCCCAGCCCTTGTTGCACCCCGGGCTTCTGACACCGCCCAGGTCACCGAGGTTTCAGGAGAACGTTGTTGCCTCATCCCTGCCCTGACAGGGACAATAAAACAAAATAAATCAAAACTGAATAAAACAACCCAAAATGTGGTAAAATTTAATAAAACAAAATTAAACGCGGGGGAAATTAACGATGACGCCAAGCAGGCACCGCTTCCCACGAGGGCCTGTGGGAGCGCAGCGCGCGGGTCGGAAGCCGCTGGGGCGGCGGGAGCTCCGACGGGAGCCCCGGCGGGAGCTCCGCTGCACCCCGGGCCGGGCACCGCGGGCCGCTGCACCCCGGGCCAGGCACCGCGGGCCGGGCACCCCGGGCCGGGCACCGCGGGCCGGGCGCCCCGGGCCGGGCACCGCGGGCCGCTGCACCCCGGGCCGGGCACCCCGGGCCGGGCACCCCGGGCCGGGCACCCCGGGCCGGGCACCGCGGCTCGTCCGCCGACCCGTGCTGGTGGGTGCATCTCCGCTAGGAACAGTGAATGTGGCAGAATTTCCCCGCGTGTTTCCGCCTGTACTTTGTATTTCGATTTAGCCGCTGCATAGCAATTAAAAAAAATTAATAAACAGACAGACCATATGCTGTTGGTTTTTTTTGTTTTGGTTTTTTTTTTTCCCTTAATTCTGGTTATTTGAGGTTGGTTACATTTAGTTCCGTTTTGGGTTTTTTTTTTCCTTAACTCTAAGACTGATTTTTTTATATATACAGACCATTAATTCTTACAAATTGACTCTCTGAAGTGCCTTTTTTGTTTTTTGTGAGGGTGGCCCAAGTATTACGATTTTATGGAACACTTCTATTAAAACTTACAGGCTCTACAGACATGAAAATATTTCCCGTTCCACAGTTGAATTATTATACAATTTCCACGACCTCACAGCACACATGATGCATTCCTCGCCGGCAGCAGCTCCACGGTGGGTGCCTTCCTTTGGGAAAGCAACAGACAAAAATATTGAAATAAAGAGCTGGCAGGAGATATTCCAGGTCCTGCTGACGGTGCTATAAATGACAACGGGATTTTCAACTCCACCAACGGAAGACAAAGATCCTCCTCTTTGCAGGAGAGGGGTTTTCCATTTATTTTCATGTCAAAAAGACAACTTGTTCTGCACTTGTGGGTGCAGAAGCCCAAATAAGGGCGGGGGAGGGGGGCGGGGGGGGAGGAAAAGAAAAAAGGGGGGAGAAAACTGACTACAGCATCAAACCTTTAAAGGAAATTTAAGATTGGCATTTGAATTCCTTCTTCCTATTGCTGTTAAGCACGGTATAGCCTTAAGTGAGCAGACGAAGGATCAGATATGTGTCTGAAATTCTCACAGATACTGAAAGTAATTTGTTTGTATTTTACAACGCATCGCCTACACCCTGGACTGAAATAGGACTCGATCCTGAAAACTCACAGTCTTACAAGTGTATCGAACAATCGAAGAGATTTATCGTCTGTTTCAGAATTGTGAGCTACGCCAGACCAAAAAGCAGGGCTCCCTCCTGACTGCCTATCCGAGGGCACACGGAAAGCCCCAGCTCGGACCTGAGCGGGCAGACTCGCACAGCTTGGCGGGTCACAGCTGGCGGGTCACTGTCGGCAGTGTTGCATCCTTTTGCCTGGTGAGTTGGAGGAGCTGCCAGGGGAAACAGATAATTTTCTGACAGTCTTTTGTTTAAGTTGAACTCGTTTCAGGCATAGAATAAGATTTTTCTCTCAAATAAAAGTAACAACGATTCTAAAGAAGAGTGTTTGCAAAAGCGGCACGTTTGACCAAATGTAGATAAAAACAGATTAATAATGTCCAGCCTGTAACAGCTCTGCCGTCGCCCTGTGCAAAACAAAATAACAAAGAAAATTTCAAAAATCCTAAGCAGAGAGAAGAAAGGATTTGATTTGGGAATTTTGCCCTTTGGTTTTACTAAATGAGAGAAGGAAAATGGTCAGGCAACGCATTCAGGGGCAAATTGTTTAGAGCTGTATGCAGACGGGTCTGAGCTTCCAACCATCAGAAGCATTGAGAAGAAACACGAGATCCTGCTGACAGCACTTCAACGAACAACTAGGCAAACAGTAGTTTGTCAGTAACTTTATTTCTTTTTTTAAAAAATCGCATGACAAACTGGAACCAAGACCAAAATACTGTATCCACTGTACATCGTTCATTAGAAAACAAACATACACCACATTTGTATTCTACCAAACAGAGAGTGTATTTCCTTTAAAATTATATAGTGCGTGCTTTTAGAGTCATGCTTTTCAATATTTATTTTACATTTGTTACTCAAATATTATCTGCTATAAATAATTGCAACTTGATCAAATGGTGCACCTGTTATGCGAACCTCTTCCATGCTGCAAGAGTGGCATTTTGTTGCCTGGTTTTTTTTTTTTTTTCCTGTCTTTCCCAAAAAGCTGTTGGTATTGCTTTATTAGGACCCGAGCAAGCACAGGTAAGGTGTCAAATAAAGTGTACAGGTGCCAGAGGCGCTTGTAGACCCGGGCCTGCTGCTGAGACCCATGGCTCAGACCGCTGGAATGAGTGATGGGAGAGCGCATAGGAAAAAAAAATCGTTTCCAAAAGGCACAATTTTCTCGACACGAAGGTACAATAAAAATATATGGCCACTGAAATGCGGGCTCCTATCGGGATGCGGTGCCTGTCCAGCGGGATCCTGGGCCCGCCAGGGCTTCGCCCTCCGGCCCCTGTCCCGGCTGCGGTGGAGGGAACCCGGGGACGCCCGCGCACCCCTACCCGCCCCGCCGGCGGCTCTGCCCGCCAGCCCGCGCTCCTCCGCGACACGGCCTCCCGTGGGACCGCCCCGGAGCCCAGAGTAGTGGAAGGGGGGCTGCAGCGCTCCCCTCACCCCGCCCCGCCCCGGCCGCCTCCCGCATCACTGCTCGCAGTGCCGGCTGCCGCTCTCCGGCTCGCTCTGGTCGTCGGTGAAGCAGACATCCACATCGCTCTCGTTATCAGTCTTTTGCTCCTGCTCGGGCTGCGCATAGCCAGAGTCACTCTTGTCCTCAGCCGCCTTGCCGAGGCTCTGCCCCGGGTGCCGGGATTTGACGTGCCGCTCCAGGTCGCGGCGTCGCACCAGCACCTTGCCGCAGTACTCGCAGCGGTACGGCGTGTTGCCCTCGGCGTGCAGGCGGATGTGTTTGTTGAGGTTGCTGGGGTCCCCGAAGGGCCGCAGGCAGACCTTGCACTTAAGCGGCTTGTAGCCAGTGTGAGTCCTCATGTGGATCTTCAGCCCGTACTTGCGGGAGTACAGCTTCCCGCAGTACAGGCACAGGTGCCCGGTCTTGGGTTTTCCTCCGGCCGCCCCGGCCGCCCCCGCCGGCAGCGTCTCCAGCCTCCCTCGGCCTTTCTCGGCCGCCAGCTCGGACAGCTGCTGCGTGTGCATGGCGATCTCCCGGTCTATGCTGGCCAGTGAGCCCAGCTCTGCGGCGTGCAGACCCGCCGCCGGCCCCGCGAAGTACGACACCGACTCAGGGTACTTGAGGAGACCGCCGAGGTGCAGCTTCAGCGGGTAGTAGGGCGCGGCCCCGTAGAGCAGCTCCCCGTTGTAGACGGTGAGCGGCATCACCGGCAGCCCACACTCCCCCGCGTACGCCTTCAGCCCCTCGAAGGGCGGTAGCGCGAAGCGCTCCAGGGCCCCGCCGGGCAGCGGCGGGTAGCGGGCGGGCGGCAGCGCGGCCGCGGGCAGCCCCCGCTCCACCTGCCGGAAGGCCGAGGCCTCTTCCAGCGGCGACAGCAGCGGGAAGGCGCGCAGCCCGCCGCCGCAAGCCAGCCCCGCCGCCGCCGCTGCCTGCGGGGCGGCCTCACCCGGCAGCGCTCCGCACTTAGGCGGCGCCTCGGTGGCGGCGCGTCCCGCCTTCAGTCCCCCCAGCAGTTTGGAGAAGCCGAGGGCGGCGGCGCCCCGCGCCTCTTCCCGCAGCGACCCGGCGGGGCGGAAGGCGGAGCGCGCCCCGGGGCACAGCGCCAGCCCGTTGCCGCCCGCCGGCCCCAGCAGCGGCCCCGGCCCACGGGCGGCCCCCACGCTCATGTCCAGGGCGCGCTCCTGCTCCTCCTTGCCCGCCGCCCGCTTGGGCAGCGCCGGCTTGGCGAGTGGCGGGGATGCGACGACGGCCTCCCGCTTGACGGCCTCCCGAGGGCCGCAGCCGGACGGCGGATGGCCGCGCAGCGAGGCGGCCGGCAGCTCCTTGGGGGGCAGGCCGAAGGCGGTGGCAGCGGGCCGGCCGTGGTCGTGATGGAGGAAGGGCCGGCCGTGACTCAGAGCGCAGTGGAAGTGGACGTGGGCCTTGAGGCTGTTGGGGTATTTGAAGGTCCTCCAGCAGTACCAGCAGATGTACCTCTCCTCCCCTGCGGAGGCAAGCGGAGGGACCCGTCAGCGGCGGCCGCGCATCCCCGTACCTCCCCGCGCATCCCCGCGCTCCCTCTGCCTCGTCCCGCCCCCGCCGTGCTGTGCCGCGGAGCGAAGCGGTGCGGGCGCTGCGCGGTCCGGGCTGAGCTCCCGCGAGCGGGGCGCCGTAGGGCCGGGGGGAGCAGCTGCTACCGCGAGTCGCCTGTCGGAGGGCCCATCTGTTGGCGTTTGCAGAGGAGGTAGCGTATGTCAGGGAGTCGGCTACACCGAACAAAGGCCAATCTAATGATCGTGAGCCCCTCATTACGCGGCGAGACAATATCCGATATGTATGGGCCATATGTAATCGTTCCCTTTCAGAGGACAATGCCCTTTGTACCCCGTCCCATTTCGACTTCTCTCAAGCGGAACAGACCTCGGTGGCCGCGGCTGTGGTGGCTGCCCGACACTGCAAGAGGCTCAGACTCCGCTCTCCCCCTCCTGGCCTTGCTTGCCAGGAGGGTTCTCCCAAGGAGGAGCATCTCCCCAGCCCCGACGGTGAAATGCCGCCTCTGTGGCCACCTGTCTAGAAATCTTTTCCTTCCTTCCTTCCTTCCTTCCTTCCTTCCTTCCTTCCTTCCTTCCTTCCTTCCTTCCTTCCTTCCTTCCTTCCTTCCTTCCTTCCTTCCTTCCTTCCTTCCTTCCTTCCTTCCTTCCTTCCTTTCCTTCCTTCCTTCCTTTCCTTCCTTCCTTCCTTTCCCCCTTTCCCCCACTTTCCCCTTTCCTTTTCTCTTCTCCTCTTCCTTCTCTCCTTTCTTCTATTTTTCTGTCTCTTTGTACTCATCTTACTCTCTCTCGTTTCTCCCAGTCACCATACTACACTGATAAGCCCCTGAATTTCCCTTTCTTCTCTTTCCCACCCTGACCGTCCCCAGCTGACCCTCACCCCTCAATTTAATGCACCGAAACACCTAAGGTGAGGCCAAGAGCCGCACGGAAATGATAGCCCCCTCCAGGCCTGGGAGCAGCTCCTCACGTTTCAGGGAATCCCGTGGGGGATGACAGGGGTGAGACCTTGCATCGTGCCCCTCGTCTGTCGGGGCACCCGGGGAGGGCGGGTCGCCGGGGTGGATGCGATGGCTGTGACCAGCCTCCCGATACACTTTTGACAGGGGTCAGTCGATGTCCGCTGCGGGTGGAAAACGAAATGTTCGCTCTCTGCGAGAAATTCGTGTGGGAACTCGCGTGGAAGCATCGCACGCTGTTGCGTGTATCTCGCCGCATGTGTCCTCGCCGCCGTGCGCAGCCTTTCCTCGTTAGCCGTGGAGAGGCAGTCCCGGGGATCTGCGGCATTAGGAAGGCGTTGGACGCTGGTTTTCGCCCCGTCGGGGAGGGAGAGAGACGGGACTGTGTCTGCCCGGGCCCCAGAGAGGAAGGGGCAGCGGGCCGCTGGGGGTGGCAATCTCACTGCCGTGCATGGGAAAAAGGGTAAAGAAGCGGTACGGATGGAAAGGAATACGGCCACGGACCGCCACGGACTCCCTTCCGCTATCTTCGTTTGCCTATGCAGGGCTCTTCAGTAGCGCGGGTCGGTCCCGGTATCCTCAGCAAAAGATGGTCGGGACCGGCTTCCGACCGCCACCAAGCCCGGCTCGGCGCTTCCCCGGCTCAGCTCCAGTTCAACAAGAACGGCGCCAGGGGGAAAAAAAAACCACCGCACACTCCCACCAAAAACCACCTCTTTCTCACCACGGTGACCCAAATTAAAGAGGTCGAACACAAAAGACTTCCAAATTTTTGATTTAGTTTGTTTTTTTCGTTTTGTGTTTTTTTAAAAAACTCTCCGAATTCCTTCCGCTGTCTTTTTACGGTTGGTGGGGGTTTGGGACTTTAGTTTGATTTTTCTGCTTTTTTTTTGTCAGCATATGATCATTAAAACAAGAGCACTTCAAGCATGCTGATACACTTTTTCTGAGTCTGTATTAATCAGTCTGGAAACTGTGGACCGAAGACACAGCAGATCCGTAGGGTCACTTTGCAATTCAGCCTTGCTTCGACGGGGCGAGGGAGATGCCACACGCTGGGAACCTCTTGCAGACCTGAGCTCTCTTTCATTTTTCCTCCGAGTAGCACTGGTACCCATCCGCAGCAAGGGCTGCTGGAGAGGAGTAGGGCGCAACACAGCCGCGTGTCCTCCTTGCTGCCGAAACTTCGCCAGGCTTTTCGAGGGGGTGACCCTCGGCAGATGCATAGCCTCACTGCCTTTCGACGTGGCGGGGACAGAGATGTGACCAAGAGTTTCTTTTCCGGGTGTAGTTTTTGTACAAGGAGGGTTTTGCGCTGTTGCACATGGCACGATGTGATATAATAGCCAGAGCCTGGCTTTCCCGCAGCTATCCCTTCGGGCTGGACCCTGGTCACCTTGCAGAGCGGCCAGCCGTGACGGGGGGGGAGGGGGCAGCTCCTGCCCGGATCGTGCACTCACTCCCTTCCCGGGGACACTGCCAAGCTGAAGGATCTTCTGCGTCAAACAGGACCGGCTGGGGTTCCCTCATCCTCATCTCCCGCGGAGCGGGCTCAGCCCGAGGAGTGCCCACAGGCAGCTGCTGCCACCGACGCCCCAGGGAGCGTCCGGACCCAGGACCAGCTGAAGGGGGTGGCCACCGACAGAGAAGCCCGGCAAGTGAACGCTGAAGTGTTTCGTCTTTTTTTTTTTTCCTCGCCCTTTTTTTTTTTTTAATGTGTTGCCATCGTATCATTTTGTTAACACCGGTGTATTTCCAGCTAAGAATAGGTTTGCGGATTGAAACAAGCCGTCCCAGACGGGTGTCTTCCCTTTCCCAACATCTTTGCGTAACCTGATCTCAGTGTGATTTGACGCCTATTTTGTCTTTTACCTAATATATTCTAATTTACAGGGACTGCCCAGTACTGCCCAGTTTTGGCTTGACTATGTGAATCTACCCGCAAGAGGACCTGAAAAGAGTCTCTGAAATCTGAGGATGGAAGGTAAACCCGATGTTTTTAGAAACAGCATTGGGTGAGGTGAGCTGAGCTGAGCCACATACCAACTGTAGCGATGTTTCACAGAAACCCCATTTGCCTATCAAAGAATCATTAAATCGGGCCGACGACGGAATAACTCGACGCACGGGGGCCTTTCCATACGCTACCGAGTTAATAGATCACCCTTTAAATGTAAGCAGATGGAGTCTTAGTTTAAAGGGTGGTGGGTTAAATTCACGGCAGCTGTACTGGCATTTATTTTTCTGAGGGCCCACGTTTGCCTACCGCAGTTTGAGTTCCCGGCAAAGGTGTCAGCTAAAGAGGGTTTGTTTTGTTTCATTTAATTTGGTTGCTTACCTTTCTCGTCGTGCGTCGGTGTGGCCGTGACGGGGATGTCAAACCACTGCGCCAGAGGGTTGGAATACCAGACGGTAAGCTCCTCTCCCGGCTGGACATCTCGCAGCGCTCGGTAGAAAATCTGGAGAGGGAAGAAAGGAAACTTCTTCAGGAGGCTTGAGAGGGGAGGCAGGTGGCGGAGAGAGGTGCCATGACAGCCCGGAGCTGCGAGTGGGGTACCTGTCCTCCTGGCAGATCCGCAACAGCCTCCAGTGTCTGCTCTTGGGAGTTTCGGGCAGCTCGGATTAACCCTATCCACTCCAGTGCTGAGCTCCCGGCTTCATCCACTAATTCCCCTCTGACCATCCGCACCTGGAAAACAGGCGGTACTGCTGTCATTTTCACGTGAAACGAAACACAAAGAGAGCAAAAAGGTTACCCGTCCCCCTGCCTGCCCGCTCTGCCTGGCCCATCGAACTGCTTCCCCACACTAGGCAGGAGGCTGAGCATCGCAGCTGAAAGCAGCGGCGAGAGCATCTCCTTTTGCCTCCTGTTTAATGCTTCCATCCTCACCCACCTTTGGGTAGGACATTCCCCAGCTCTCAGGTGCCTTGGAAGAGATCCGGCTGCCTAGCGGTGGTTGCAGCTCTGCAGAGTAAGGATGGAAGACCCTCTGCCCAGCGAGGGGAAACAGGATTTTTACAGGATTTTTCCCTTGGGTAGCATTGATCCAAATGCACCTTGTCCAGTCGCAGCTGTTATACATTCGCTTAAAGCTAAATTAAATGCCCAGGCACTTTTTTTTTTTTTTTTGTTTTTTTTTTGTTTTTTTTTGTTTTTTTTTTTTGTCTCTGAGTCCGTGCAAAACCACTGTGACATGCAGGACTTGTCGGGAGATGGGGAGGGGAAAGGGGGAGAAGATTCTGCTTAGCTACAGAGTCCCTGTAGCCCAATACTTCATAATCTGCTTGCCCATACAAAGAGAAAATGAAGTGCCCATTCCCTGAATGACCGTGCAATAAAAGTCATCGGAACAAAGCAGTCTAAAGCGAGAAACCAAGGGAGCCAGATGAGAAATAAATTTGAGTGGGCTGGCAGAGCGTTTAAAAACAATTAAAGTGCATTAAAAATCAGAGCGGAACGCGTGAGCCGCGGCTGCCCGAGGGGCGAAAGGAGGGGTCTCATCCGCAGCCCCCTGAAGAGCCTGATGGACGGGGCAAGAGCCCTTCACCGCCTCCTCCTCGCTCCTTCGCTCGGACACGGGCTGACCCCGAAGCACGCAGCCGTGTGGCCGTCATCCCTCCCGCTCCGGCTGTGCGCTTGTTTGCAGCTCCAGGGGAGGAGGTCCCCCCGAGGATTTGGGGGAAGGTTGAGCTGCCCTGGGCTGCCCCGACACCTGCGACCTGCACCCCGGCGCCGTCTCTCGGGTAGCCCCGGTCCTCTCGCCCCGCATTCCCTTCAGGCCCAAGCCAAAGGATCGCGGCCGGGAAGAGGAACCCAAGCCAACCGCAGAAATAAATGGGTGCATCTGCGTCTACCCTGCTCCTTCCTGAGCCAAAACCCGGGGGCTTGTGACAGCCTCACGCCCTCGCCTCGCCGGAACTCCAGGAGAGAGGAGCCGGCCGTGGCACGTCCCGGCTCTGCCAGGGAAAGGGGCAATGCCTCATTGAGCAGAACCCCGGGGGGCGGGGGCTGGGTGGTGGGTCCAGGGCCCTCCGACATCGGGCACGGGGCTCAGGCGACGCTTCCAGAACGTCTCTGTCCGAGGCGGGGGAGCGTCCACTCCTCCGGGAGAGCCCCCGGGTCCTCTGGTCTCGTCCCGGAGGCCGGCCGGGCTAGGCGCCCCGGCGCTGGGGAGGAGGGAAAGAGGGCACGAGCGGGCAGGCTTTCCTGGCAAAACCGCGGGGAGACATCTCAGGACGTTCTGGAAATGCTTCCCTTTGCTTTCCTGGCTCGCTCTAGGAAGGGAGGATCGAAGAGAGACGGGGGAAGCAGCCTCTTCTCCCAAAGCCGGCTTCCCCCGAGTCAACGAATAATCAAAGTCCAGCGGTGCAGGAGTGAACGTAGGAAAATACCTTTTTTTTGGGTCCTGGCTCCTTGCGGTCTGACAGGTACTTGCCCAGTTTGAAGGTGCCCGGCACAGGACCCAGGCGCAGCCCAGCCGGGATGCAGCTCTCCGCGCTGACGCTGATGGCCGGAGCCCTGCTGGTTTGCATCGCTGCCGCTGGGTGTGAGCGCTCGGGAACCCCAACTACTTAAGGGGGTCGGAGTGACAGCGGCAGGCGGCGGGAGGATGAGCACAGGCGTATCTCCGCCCGCAGAGTGACGCGGCGCTGTGTGGACGCCGGCTTTTCAACGGGAGCAGGAGGGGTACCCCTTGGCAGGGGGATGCTCTGGGGCGCAGAGTTTGGTGAGAGAGTTTGGCTCCTCGAGCAGCTGCGGAGTCCCATCCAAGAGGGTCACATGGAGCCTTTCCCTAACCCTCCTGCATAATCAGGCGGAGTGAATGGCTGGCAGACAATGGGCCAGGCGACCTTCCCATTCCTAAAAATCCAATTTGTCAAGGGCAAAGAAAAGGCGCTGGTGAATCAAAGGTCTGGAGGGACCATTAATCCTCAGCATGGGGTATTGTCCCCGAGACAGTTACGATATTTTAAGTGACAAATCCACTGTATAATTTCTCCATAAATTTTACTTCCTTTTATTGTTCCTCGACAAACCAGTTTTGGAAAATAAGTGACTATTTTAAGTCTACTTGGCTGAGCCTTTTGAGGTTTAATATACTTCAAAGATTTTTAATTCTCTTCCCTTGGCTTTATTGTAAAGGAGATTAAACAAAGAGATGGGGAATGTTTTGAGGACTTGTTAACTTCTATTGATTCCCGGCGTGTGCCATACAGAAATTGGGCAGGTACTTGATGGGAAAACACCAGAAAATACCTACACTTTTTTTCTTAAGAACGACCATATTACCATTTCAGTGGTTTGGTTTCAGGCCAGTAATCTGTTTCAGAAGAGCTTTGATCCTTAAGGAGGATGAATAGCACAAAATATGAGCTGCCGTAGCCCCTGTAAAACACAAACCGCTGCACCTGCGAGCGCTGGGGAAGCTGGGTCTCTACGATTAAGAAATAGAGACAGGAGGAAATAGAGACATACAGCCACCAGGAAACGGGCAGGCACGGCCAGCCGATAACACAGTTATCTAGCAAAGAGTGTGCAGCTGGATTCCTCCCTTAATACATCCACAAGTTCCTCGCCCACACGCAAAATCTCTTACATCGAAACCGCTTTAGGAGGTGGAACCTGCAAAAAGCAACTGCAAATAAAGCCAGAACGAAGATATCTGAACAGAGTGTGCGCCCATGACCCTCCTCGTTGCATAAACATTTTAATTAAGATACAACGAGGTGCTAGGATTAAGTCATCTTATAATTCAGGCTGGATAAATGTATCAGGAATTTTCCAGGAGCTGAAAAGGAAAGGTGTGCGACTTTTTTCCTTAAGTGCACGCAACAGTTAAGATGTGCCTGTCAGACCAAGAAGGACACTAACAAATTCAATTTTCCACTTTCGCTTTTATACTCCTATCTAATTCCTGCTGGTGGGTTTTCTCTGCTCCATGCCTCATAACACTCTAAAAAGAAGATTTCTATACTTTTGTCCTTTGGAGAAGTTGCAAAGTTGTACATGAGTTTTATCCACAGCTTTCAGAACTTTCAGAAACAATCGTAGATATGGAGCTTTTTTTTTTTTTTTTCTCCTCCCTGTGGCGTTTTGTAATAGTCAGCCCTAATACATGTCAAAAGGAAAGCCAAAAAGCTACGCTTAGAGGTACATCTGCCGACAGATTCCAGGTAACTGAGCGGGCTCTTCTCAAGTAACCCGCTTTCTGCAAGATAAACCTTGGCACGTCGCTTTCGATGCGACTGTGTATGGGAGCTTTACTCTGGATTTATTTGCCGCCGTCACGACTGGCACTGTGAGAGCAAAGACCACAGGGATGCGCACGGGGAACGAGAGCGATTTTGAACCGGCACCTCTCACCAGCCGGCCGTCTCAAAATTCTTCTTTCCCCTCTCCCTGCCTTTCACCGCGCCGGAAAGCACTGAAAGCTCTGCCTGCCAAGTCACCGCCGCTGCTGCGATATTTGCCCACGTTGGCCGCCGTTCGCTGTGGGCCCGCCGCGGCAATGCGCTGCCAGCCCGGCCGGTGCCGGCCCGCCGCCTTCCCGGGGCACTGGCGGCCGCTGCCACGGCCGGGGCGAGCCCTGAAGTGTCAGCGCCTCTGCAGAGCGGCGGGAACGCGGGGCTGCTCGGGGCGGCTCCTTCCGCCCTCGGCGCTGCCCGCGGGCGCGGGGAGGGAAGCGCGGAGCTCCCCCGGACGGGCGGCACCGGGAAAGGACGGGACAAGGACGGGACGGACGCTGCCAGCGCCTGCCTCGGGGACTGCTGGCCGGCACTGAGCCCGCGTAGGCTGTGAATGTATTTTTAGTAATGGTCCGTACTGGTGAGCGTGCGAGATAAATGTCGCGCCTGCCCCTCCCAGCGCCTTCCGCCTGCAGCACCAGTGACCATCGATCGCGTCTCTCCAGGGTGCAACGCCAGGGACTGTCCCGGGAGCAGGGACAGTTTCAGGGTTCGTTTTCAACTCGGCAAAGCTGGGAAGAGGAGGGGGAAGAGGATGTGGGGAACTGAAGATGACCCCTTTGATCAGCGGCATGAATGGGGGAAAAAGGATAAACAAGAAGTTGAGAGCAATAAATTTAAGCCATGAACATGTCCCTGTAACCTCTGGCCTGGCCACTCGAGGATGAGACCGGCTTGAAATTCCGCGAGCCGCAGAGGTAGAGAGGGCCTTTAAGGCGACCAAGGTACCCTACTGCTCCGCCTCGGGAGCCGCTCCCTCCCAGGCCTTAATGAGTCAAAAAGCGTGAACGACACGCGAACAATTTTATCAATAGAACCATGTAAAGGCCGACTGTGAGGAAAGTTATTTATTAATATAGCCGATTGTGGCTGGTTCCCATCCACTCAGAAAAGAAAAGCCCTTGCTCTGGAAGCATTCACACCAGTTCTCCAATTTTTATTCTGTCCTGTGGCTCAAAGTTGAAGTTCCCCAAGTGAAATAAATTGTCCACAAAAGAGGAAAGGAACCACATTTTCTTTTATTTTTCCTTCCCTAAAAAGGAAGGGTGAAACCGATCTAATGTGCCCACTGGAGCAAGATGCAGCATGAAAGGCCGGGTGTTAAAAGTAAAAGCAGCCTTTGGAGCAAATGGGATGGAAAATTAAATGAAATTAAATAGCTTGAACGACCGTATTGTCCCTTATTAAAAAGACACATTAATTACATGGTTTCAGCTTTATTCAAAGACAATGTTTAGACTCAATCAAAACATTCCACTATCGGTCTTTATATACTTAAACTCGGCTAGTAGAGGCACCATTAAAGAGAGATCACTTTTGCCCAGAGATGCGATGAAAGTTATTTTCCTTGGCGGCCCTTATTTATGCCCACCGCTGAACTGCCGGTGCCCCTGAGTAACACTTTGGCACACTGTTCTCCCTGATTTAACAGGTTGCCCCATAATGAGGCATGAATGTTAAGGAACAACAGTCATCCAAAGAGGCACAGTTGCAGAGAGCAATGTCCCACCAGGGAGCTCCATTCAAACCATCAAACCGCTCCGGCACAGAGAAGGTTCAACACCACATTCAGACCAGCATGAATGCCTGTATACAGGGCCCGGCTCATTATGCCGCAGAGCATCGCAGCAGAGGCTGGAACAAAATGCTGCAAGTTCATTCAGCAGGCCATACTCCGGCGGAGCGGCCCAGCCGGCGGCTCCCGGGGTGACCTTTTTCCCAAAAGCCCCGACAGGGCTGCCCTTCCCCGGGCTGCGGGACGGCACGGTCTGAGACTCCAGTCCCTGCCTGAGCAGGCCGTGAGGTTCCGCAGCAGGTGGATAGGGATGCAAAGCACGGGGCGGAAGGCAGGGGGGAGGCTGGCTGAGACCCTGAAATACGGAAATCCTCTTTAAACCGAAGAGACCAATATCTTGTTCTTAATTTTTTTAATAAAAATTTTACCCTTTTCTCTGTTTCTCTTTTCCCCCTTTTCTCCTCTTTTTTCTCTTCGCCCTTCCCTTCCCTTCCCTTCCCTTCCCTTCCCTTCCCTTCCCTTCCCTTCCCTTCCCTTCCCTTCCCTTCCCTTCCCTTCCCTTCCCTTCCCTTCCTTCCCTTCCCTTCCCTTCCCTTCCCTTCCCTTCCCTTCCCTTCCCTTCCCTTCCCTTCCCTTCCCTTCCCTTCCCTTCCCTTCCCTTCCCTTCCCTTCCCTTCCCTTCCCTTCCCTTCCCTTCCCTTCCCTTCCCTTCCCTTCCCTTCCCTTCTCTTTTGCAATTTCCGACTATCTTTTCCTCCATCCCGCTCACCTTCTCTAGTTTCAGCCGCTCTTTCTTAAACCCCCTTCTCGCTACCGCCCTTTCCTCTGCTCTCGTCCTTCCCCTCACTTTCATTCCTCCCCGTGAGGCCGCCCGCAGCAGCCGCTGCCGCCCCGCCGCGGCGCTGCCGGTGCCCGGTGCCCGGTGCTGCGGGCGGGCGGTGCCGACCGGCGGGGCCGAGCGGCTGCGACCGGGCCGGCGGCCCCAACCAGCTGTGCGGTGCAGACGAGATGCGGGTGGGATATTAAAGCAGCTTTTGAATAGTAATTCAGGTTCTATGGGAATCCGGGCAGATGACGGGAGCTCGATTTGGTATTCGTATTGTTAATCGCGAGCGTCAGCCCAGATCGGATCCAAACACGTTTTGTGCTCGTTAAAAATTCCAGTGTAGGGGCTGAGATTTTTTTTCTTTTTAGCCCAACTTCAATTGGAGGCAAAGCTTGCCGCATAAAGTATTCAAAGTCTGTCTAAAGTTGCCTTTTAACCGTATTCCCCTTCTCCCGCAACCCCCACCGTATCTCTTGGTTCTTTCGGTTGACATGATGCAAATAAAAGTCAGTAAACTTTTTGCTGAATTGCAATGTTTCGGTGTACCTTATAAATTCATACCTTTTCTCCCTCGATCGCCTCAGAATGAGCCCCTGCCTCAATTCGATTTTCCTTGCTGTTGGGCACATTTAGGAGAAAGTCTATTTGTGAAGTTCATTTCTAGGCAAATGTATTCAAGAGCTGATTGGGATGAATAGGACCGTGTGTCAGCCGCCCCTAATTGGGATTAAAGCACTTCGGACCATATGCAGAGAGTGACAGAAATTCTCAGGTTTCATTGTGCTCAGACTTCCACCCGCCTGGACACTCCCCCTGGAAAAGGGGGATTTATAAAGATTTGAAGGAGAAACTGAGGAAATAAAGGAGACTTAGAAAATGACCAGTCTAATGTCTCTCTGAGGGGCTGCCATCGTGGCAACTTCGGGGACAAGGACTGGCAGTGGTGGGCAGTGGCGAGAGCCCTGCCCCCGTGTTTCCCTTCGGAGGGAAGGGCAGCAAGGCTCAGGTTCCTCGTGCCCAGCTTGCTTTCGGGTTTAGAAATACTCGGGGCTATAAGGGAGTGAAAAACCCCATGAAAAAACTTCATTGGGTGATTTTAGCCGAATG